GCCTCTGGTAAACTGCTGCTCAGGGGGTCCATTGTGTGGACAAAGGCAAGTCTCAGTCTGGGCAATAGCACCAGGGCCCTTGGGCAGCACACAGGCTTGGAAATTAAACCCAGGTTCAAGTCCACCTTTGTCTAGTCTTTCCCAGCTGACCTCCAGCAAATCTCTTATTAATCACTATCAAACAGTTATTGAGTTCCTATTATGGGTCTGGTCCAGGCAATATATACTTTCTCCCAGGCTGCTGGGCGCATTTCTTAGGAGTAAGGCAATCTGAGAAAAGTACTTCAGCCAGGTGTGGTGACTGACACCAGTAATCCCCAGTGACTCTGGAGGCTGAGGCAGGAGAAGCTCAGGTTTAAGGCTAGCCTGTGCAACACAGTGAGCCCATGTCAAAAAAATGGCATGGAGAGGTGGGGTGGGGTGGGGTGGGGCTTACAATTGCTCTACCATTGAACTAGAGGTAGAGCACCCCTGGATTCAGTCCCCAGTACCCTCCCCCGACATACACAAAAGAGGAAAAAGGACTTCAGTGTTGTATGCAAATGACAAAATGTTTATACTGTACTCACAAATCAATGGATTCATCTGGGCAACCCTCAGGTCTGGAAGCCCTTGCCCTCTATTTTGCTCAATCTTTCTTCCTCAGGAAGCCTGCCAGTCCTGAATCTCTCTCCCAAAGCTGGGTTAGGAGCCCCTCCTTTGGTTCCAAGACATCCTGGGCCTCTCTCATAGATCTGGCTTCAAATTCTGATTATGTTATGTGTACCAGGTAAGTCACTTAACCTCTCAAGTAACTCTTGTCCAATGGGTCCCCACAGTAAGAAAATTGCTTAGCACAGTAAAAAAGTAAGAGCTCAAAAAATCAGCTCTTATTCTTAAAATTATTTAGGCTTTTAATAACAGAGAGCTGATTTGGGTCTCCACTGTTTCCAGCACCTACCACAGAATCTGAGTAAGTACAGAGTAGGTGCTTGGTATATGACGGTAGGCAGAATAATAGCCCCCAAAGATGTTCACGTCCCGATTCTCAGAACCTATGACTGCTATTTTACATGGCAAAGGAAATTAAAGCTTCAAATGAGATTAAGTTTTCTAATCATCTGATTTTAAAATAGGGAGATCAAGGGTGGAACATGCTTATAATTCCAGTGATTTGGAAGGCTAAAGCAGGAGGATTCCAAGTTCAAGACCTGCCTCAGCAGTATAGTGAGGCCCTAAGCAACTTAGCTTAACCCTTCTCTCAAAATAACAAAAAGGACTGGGTTGTAGCTCAGTGGTAAAATACCCTGAGTTCAATTCCCAGTACAAGAAAAAAAGGAAGAAAATTATCCTGGCCTAAAAACTTGTCCCTATGTAATCCAAAGTGTCTTTAAAAGAGTTGCGGGTATGCAGGACATGGTGGCACATGCCTGGGGATCTATCAGTGGTAGAATGCTTGCCTAGCACATACCAGGCCCTGGGTTCAACTTCACAACTGTTAGAAAAAAAAAAGTCATTAATATTATTAAATCTGTATCTGTGAGTGAATACCTTTTTTTTTTTTAAAAAAAATTATATATGTATTTCAGTTGTTGATGAACCTTTATTTTATTCATTTATTTATATGTGGTGCTGAGAACTGAACCCAGTGCCTCACACATGCTAGGCCAGCGCTCTACCACTGAGCTACAACCCCAGCCCCGTGAATACCTTTTTTAAAAAAAATAGTTTATATTTTATATTTAATTTATATTTTACTTTTTTTTTTTTTTTTGGTGGTACTGGGGATTGAACCCAAGGGCATTCTTCCACTGAACTTCATTCCCAGCTCCTTTTATTTTTAATATTTGAGACAGGGTCTTGCTAAGTTGGTCAGGCTGGCCCAGAATGTGCAACCCTCCTGCCTCACCCTCCTGAGCTGCTGGGGTTACAGGCATGCACTACCACACCAAGTTCTGATTTTGCAGGCTTTGAAGATGAGGAAGGGAAGGGTCATAGTCAAGGCACGCAGGCAGCTTCCAGAAGCTAGAAAAGGCAAGAAAACAGATTCCCCCCCTCCCCCAGAGACTACAGAAAGGAATGCATCCTACTAATACCTTGCTTTTAGTTCAGTGAAGCCCACATTGGAAATCCACAAAACTGCAAGATAAGAAATTTGTGTGTGTGTGTGTGTGTTTTTAACACACTGAGCTTTGATTATTTGTTACATCAGCAATAGGCAACTAATGTTTCATAGCAAACATTATGGTTCATACTACTACTAAGCTATTTGTGACAGCTGAACATTAGCCTCCAAACTCCTTGAGGTTATGGAATAAAAATAAGGCAAATAAGGCAATTTTTCTTATTAGCCACTGCTTTGCAGGCTGAGTGTCTGGCACACCGCAGGAACAAAAACCCTTATTGAATGCCCTCCCCACGCGCCTCTCCTCACGTCGCGGTCCCTGCCTATTCTGGCCAGCTACCTGCTTCCGGAAAGTTCCCTCACTAAAGGCCTGGCCTGAGACTTTCTCCTGTAGCGACATCCTCCTGAATAGAGCGGCGGGACACCTTGGAGACAGTGGGGAGCTGTGCACGCTTCAGGCGGCAGGGGGCGAGCGTGGCCCGGGAGCTCCCCTGTAGGCCCTTATAGGGCCGGGCCGGGGCGGGACTTCGAGGGCGGAGCGGCTCAGCGCGCAGGCGCAGGGCCAGGCGCCTCGCGCGCTTGGAGGAGAGCGACCGCAGAGCAGCTCCGGCCACGGCTACGGTAGCAGCGAGTTCGAACCCCCGCTCCCGCTCCGCTTCTATTCTCGCTTTCCCGGCCCCTGGGCCTTCCGACGCCAGTGCCCGGCAGCTCGTTGCGCTTTGCGTTTTCTCCGCCGCCAGGATGCCGGTGACTGAGAAGGACCTGGCGGAGGACGCGCCGTGGAAGAAAATCCAGCAGAACACGTTCACACGCTGGTGCAATGAGCACCTCAAGTGCGTGAACAAACGCATCGGGAACCTGCAGACAGATCTGAGCGATGGGCTGCGGCTTATCGCGCTGCTCGAGGTGCTCAGCCAGAAGCGCATGTACCGCAAGTACCACCAGCGGCCCACCTTCCGCCAGATGCAGCTCGAGAACGTGTCTGTGGCGCTCGAGTTTCTGGACCGTGAGAGCATCAAGCTCGTGTCCATCGGTGAGTACTCTGGTCGGGCCCAGGCGCCAAAACGTGTACAGTCCGGTCTCAGCGCATGCACCCGTGCGAGAGGCAGGGGCTCCCCAAAGCATGCCCTCACCGCACTCCCCCACCGGGACTGGGTGTGGACGCGGAGGCAAGGAGAAATAGTACTTGAGTGTAGGGACGTAGGGACCTAGGCCACCTCCTTGGTGCCATAGCTGAACTGGGACCTGGCGTGATTGCTCCCCGCCATACGCCCAAGCAGTGTTCCTGGGAGCTGGCTTTGGGTTGAGTGTTATTGTTGGGGTCGCAGGTGGAGATATGGCATTTCTTTGTGCCTGCGGCGCCCCTGAGAGAGAGAGGGTCTGGAAACCTATGTCCGCGGCTCTCGGGGGCGGGACCGTAGAGTCAGAAGTTCTGGGGAGCGCTTGCCTTCTGCGCCCAGGTCGGTGCGGTCAGTGGCTGCCTAGTGGGCGTTGGCTTGGAGGCTGGGCGGGGAGACCTGGGGAGGGACTCTCTGCGTTTGAGACCTCCCTGCCTAGGTGGAGAAAAGGACCTAGTACCCTCGCTTGCAGTCTCCAGAATGGCTGTGGGCCCAGAGGTTGAAGGGGGAGCCGCGGGGGTGTGTGTCCTTCTTGTTCCTTCTTCTCCCAGCTCACCTGGGGCCGGTTGAGATAATTTAGGGGTGGATGGAGTAGTAACAGCTTGTCTTGTTGAAGTCTCACCTAGTGCTGGCTGTATGTCTACAGCCCTCTACTTTATTTTAGTCCCTATACACCCAATGAACTGAGGTGTAGACCCATTTTACAGATAAGGGTGTTCAGAGGGTTAATTGACTTCCCTGGGGTCAAGCAAGTAGGCCCCAGCTTAGAATTAAAGGAAGTGGGTGATTATTGGAAGGTGTTGTTGTTTTTCTTTCCCAGTCTCCTACCAGGGACTTCCTGAGAGAGGGAAAGAAGTGGTGTCTGGTTGTTCTTTTGCTGGACTGGGGAACAAGAATGAGAATGAGGTCTCCCTTATGGCCTGGGGGAAGTTGGGGACTTCCAAGAGAATCACAGAGCTGCTGAGGATGTGTGCTGCGACAAGAGCAGGGGTTTTGTAGTGTGTGTGTGTGTGTGTGTGTGTGTTCAGGTGTGTGCAGAGAATGTGTGTGTATTGTGTATGTGTACAGAGAGGATGAATTTGTGTGTATACAGCATGGATGTGCACAGTATGTATGCAGAGAATTGTGTACATCTAATCTACATTGTATGTGTGTATCTTACCAGGGAGGGACTGGCCTGGGTCTGTGGTGTCTTCCTGAGGAAATCAGGCCATTACAGTGGCTACACTGATAGAAAGGAAGGGAGGTAGGTGTGACTGCTAGGACTTTCTCCAGTGAAAAAGGGGTTCCCTCTAGGCTGAGCTCCTCCTGGCTTTCCCTGCCTTCTCCCACACCTGTCCTAGCAGGTAGGGCTGCTTCCTACTTCCTGGGCTCAGGCAGCTGACACTACCCAGCTGGCTTCGTAGCTGGTCTCCCCTCCCAAGGATGGCTTCTGTATAGAAGGCAGCTGAGTGGGGTGCTTTAGTCTTCTTTTGGGGAGGCTGTCTCCTGAATTAGGGAGGAAAAATCCCTCTGGATTCTAGAATTTTTTCCTTTTTAATAACCCACCTTTCCTCTAAGGAATCTCAAAGCCTGGCTGATCTCAACTTGAATCCATTCTTTGTTTTAAAATATGTATTTATTTAATTAACTGAACAATGAAACTTAAAGTAAACCAGGAGTATCCAAACATGACATAAAATCTCTTAAAACCCACAGCATCAGAATATCCTGGACTGCTTTATACAGGCAGCAACTGCTTCCAGTGTGGCTTCACATCAGTGCTTCGAGCTCATAGATCTCATTCTAGACTTTGTCTGGCCCCTTACATTTTTTTGCTCCGTCCTGATTTTCATTCCTGAACCCACTCTGTCCTTAGGCCTGCGTAGTTCTGAATTCCAGGATGGGCTTCCCTTTCTCTGAGGTGGGCCTATTGGCTGTTGGTAGCTTCTTCTTCTTCTTCTTTTATTTTTTAAGAGAGAGAGAATTTTTAATATTTTTATTTTTCAGTTTTCGGCGGACACAACATCTTTGTTTGTATGTGGTGCTGAGGATTGAACCGGGGCCACATGCATGCCAGGCGAGCGCGCTATGGCTTGAGCCACATCCCCAGCCCGGTATCTTCTTTTTTATGTAGACCTCTTTTCACCACAAGTTACGTTGTTTTCTTTTTCCTTTTTAATTATTTCTTGGATCATATTCCCTAAAGTGACATTCCTGGGTCAAAGGGTGTGACCACATTTATGACTCCAGCCTAGTTAGTTGCTCTCCAGAAAGCTCTCTCACAGCAAACAGGTATTCCAGCCTCTGGAAACCAGAGGAAATCTTGCCAGGTGCTAGGACTACTGTGGGGGGTAAAGGCTGAGGCCTCATCTCTCTGGTCCTGGGGCTGTTTCCGGTAATGGCCCTTCCAAAGCTCAGGGTAGAATGGGGGAGGGGGTGTTACCTCCTGCTTGGATTTCAGTTTACTCATTCACTTCTTGCTTCTATGTTACCTTGTTCCAACAATGACACTAGTTCTATCTGGGGGCACCCACTAGGTGTTAAGTGTGTTCTGTTGACCATTTGCATTGAGTACCCCTGAGAATTATTGACTGATAGCAATTATTGCCCTTTCAGCTAATGATCTGCCAGTCACTAGGAGGGTAAATGGCTTGACTCTGTTCTGCCTACCACAGGTAGGTATGTAGAAAATGGTTGCTATTATTATTGCCCTGGTTGTTGTTAATATTATTTCCCTTCCTGGGAAACATGAGTGAAGTAACTTGTGGTGGTGACCTGACTAGGAGGTAAATGATGACTAGAACTCAGGTCTGCAAAACTGTTGAATTTGAGCCTTAATTGATCCCTCCCAGTGTCAAGAAAAGAGTAAAATACAGCCCCTCTCCCCACATCAGAGGGTCCTTGCAGGATTTGCAGGTCTGGGGTGTTATAGTGGCAAGGCCTTGGATGAGTCACAGAATTACCCTCTTGGCTATGATGAGGGTCCCAGGAGTTGAATGTCCTGTCATGATAGTAGGTGAGGGGACTTGCATTGCTCATTGTTGAATCCACTGATGGATGGCCACTCTGCTCCATTTTGTTATTTTGTTGTTGGGATTTCCTGCTACTCAGTAGATTATGTTTTACTCCATAATGAGGGAAAGTATTATTGAATGAATACAGGGTTTTGTGTGCTTTGGATAGCTCCCAAAAATATGCATCTTAGGAGCCATCACTATGATGTTCATGTGCCCAGCTGTGAGACATAAGATGGTCAGGCAGCTGCCAGAGGACTGTGGCTTTTCTACATAGAACTCGCTGAAAGACAGTTCTGGCTATTTACTCACATTAGGCACTATCCCAAAGTTGAATTACCCCCACCCAATTTAAAAATTGATGCATTATAGTTGTACATACTGATGGGATTTGTTGTTACATGTCTATATGTGCACACAATACACAATATAACAATAAAATTTGGCCAAGATCACTCACCAGCACTCCTTCCCCCCACCCCTTTAGTTTCTTGCATCCTGGGCAGTTCATAGTGAGGCCTCAGCATATTTAGTTCCAGTTGTTTGCCAGGAGCTGGCAATGTTATTTACTTGTTTTTCCAAAAAACTTTCTGACTAGACAGCCCAGGCACCTTGGAGCAAAAGGGGTCTCCTGGCTCAAGAGGGACGATTGAGGCTGCCTAGAAGTTTGGGAAGTGTGTTGTGGTTTGGCTCCTTAATTGATTCATAATTAATTATTTTTTGTGGTATTGGGTAGTGAACCCAGAGCCACTCTACCACTGAGCTATATTTCCAGCTTTTTTTATTTTTAATTTTAAGTCAGGGTCTCCCTAAGTTGCTGAAGCTAGTCTTGAACTGCTTTAGCCTCTGGGCTAGCAGGCATACATTATCACATATGGCAGCTTTGGTCCTTTAAGGAAAGGAATTCTCTTCAGTCTCCAGCAGCAGCAGCAGCAGCAGCA